ATGATCTAAAGTACTACAGATAGGTAACACCTGACATGACCTAAAGTACTATAGATAGGTAACACCTGACATGACCTAAAGTATTACAGATAGGTAACACATGACATGATCTAAAGTACTACAGAGAGGTAACACCTGACATGACCTAAAGTACTACAGATAGATAACACCTGACATTACACAAGGTGGATAAAACCTGTTATGACACAGAGTGCTACAGGTAAATCAAACACAACTCATACAAAGTGCCAGAAGTAGGTAAAAGTGTATGAGACACAAAGTGCTACAAGAAGTCAAACAGTTGCTTTATTTAACTTAAAGGTTCTTTACTACTGTTGTTGTTTTTATTGCAGTCACCAGGAAGAAAGATCAGAGCACACTTTAAAGTTCCAATAAACACACAAATAACACATATTAAAGTTCCAATAAACACTCAAATAACACATATTAAAGTTCCAATAAACACACAAATAACACATATTAAAGTTCCAATAAACACTCAAATAACACATATTAAAGTTCCAATAAACACACAAATAACACATATTAAAGTTCCAATAAACACACAAATAACACATATTAAAGTTACAATAAAATCCCAAGTATCTAAGTGTATTCAAGTTCATAAAGGATCCTGCGTTATTTAAACAACTTAAGATTGGCAAACAGGGAATGTCAAAAGTAATAAAAACACCACTTTACACGCACATATTTTATCTTTGGCATAAAGTCACTTATATGGTGAGAATGTAAGGAAATATATATAAGATGTCTGTAACAAAAACAAACTGAAGTTTCTGGTACACATCTTAATCAGAGTAGTAGTAAACGGAAACTATCTCAAGGTAACACAGTGTATTCAGTTATCTTTTTTTTTGGTTGTTTTTGGTACAACTGTAAAATCATCTTCGACTACTGTTACAGTATTTCATAAATACTAACGGGGAAAATCACCCTTTCATTTTTAGCAGCATATCAATGATATGCTGGTTTGAAATGTTTAATAAAAATCACAGGAAATATGAAAGTCAAATACTGTCCTTTAATATTGGACAACAACTGTTTTTGTTTTAATCTTTTACAGACCATAATTAGCATTTTTTCCAGTCATTTCGGAAACAACAGAGTTAACTTGATATTTATAGTTAAGTACTGTATATAGCATTGTAATGACTACAGAAAATTCATCAACTTAACATTCAAAAAATATTATTTCATTATTAATATTCTTTTATTTCTAGCTTTAAAGCAATTTTTTCTTGGATAAAAGAAACATTTTTCTTCATATAACTTCTAGAAGCCTTCAGTTATGTTGACTCTTAACTAATAAAATATGTAGAGATTGGATAGTTCCTGTTTTGGTCTCTTTCTTGGTCATAACTCTAGTCTGTACTTGACCTAGCACTAATGAACCAAAAAGCATATTTATACCTTTGCATTATCCCGTTCAAGTTTCTTTGCTACGAGGCCCTTGTCCTTTACCCAATAAACACCCAAATAACACATATTAAAGTTCCAATAAACACCCAAATAAAACATATTAAAGTTCCAATAAACACCCAAATAAAACATATTAAAATTACAATAAACACCCAAATAACACATATTAAAGTTACAATAAACACCCAAATAACACATATTAAAATTCCAATAAACACTCAAATAACACATGTTAAAGTTACAATAAACACCCAAATAACACATATTAAAGTTACAATAAACACCCAAATAACACACATTAAAATTCCAATAAACACACAAATAACACATATTAAAGTTCCAATAAACACACAAATAACACATATTAAAGTTCCAATAAATACTCAAATAACACATAACCTTTCAGATCACTTATTACAGTGTGAAAAAACTCTATGGAACAAAATTTTCTTGTAAACTACACAGTAAACATTTTGAAAATCAACACAAATTAATAACAAAATATATAAGAAATTTCAACATTAAAACAAAGACAAAATTACTGAGTACGATGTTATCCCAACTATCTAGAATAATTCGTTTTCACGAGTTTTTAATTTATAAAATTTAATAAAAATAACAGAAATTAATTGTATCTTCTTATAACAGAAATCTCTTTAAAAAACCCATTCAGAGTAACTTTTATTTGTACACTTTTTTGTCCAGAAGTATAAAAGAAAACCTTTGAAACTAAGCAAATCCGATTGTATTTAATAGAATTTTTAAAGTCCTAGTTTTACGTGTTTGATAATCCTAATAGTACTACTTGAATACAAGAAGTTAGAAGACTTATTGATATATTTCACATAATTTTCCATAATTTTTACCTGCGTTCATAGACATAATATCAATCTCCTTTTGTGCAAGCTTTTCTTCTCGAGCCCTCTGATCATCTAACTTCTTTTCAACAGAAATGTCTTTTTCTGAGGGTTGAGCTAACATATTACAAAAAAACAAAAAAACACAACTCAAAATGTTATTAAAAAAAACATTACAAAAATTAAATAATTTTAATATAAAATTATAACACAAAAAAACAATAAAAGAAATTTAAGTGACTTATTTCTCTTTCAGAAATAGGGAATTTATTTAAATGATTTAGAAAAAGCTTGTGCTAAAAAAAAAATAAAAGTGGTAACTTATTAAAAAAGTATTCTTATACTATACACTGAAACTAAAGACAAAATATTTTAGGCATTATCTAGTTTTAAAATAGTTAACATAAAACATAGTACTTACAGAGGTTTTTGTGTATGTTATGTGTAGTGTTTAAAAATAAATGATGTTTTGTGAAGTTTAAATAGCTGTGGTTAACTAGGAAACATATAACTGTAAATAACACAAATAAAAACATCACTGTGAGTAGCATATTAATTAGGATATCACTGTTGAATAATACGTTACTGAGAAACATCTGAGGACAATCAGTGAAACATATCACTGTGTATAACATCTCGAAACAATAGAGAAAAAAGGCCATTTTGTATATTTATATAAATACCTTTAGACTGAGTTTTTGTAACAGAAACATTTTTAGGCTTCTCTTCAGTTGTTGGTTGTTTTGTTGCCTCAGGCAGTAATGTTGATGTTTCTTCTTTCTGTTAAAAATACCAATTACCATTTCACTTGTTTAAGTATGTTAGCAAGTAACATTCTTCTTGAATCTAGCTACATGAGTCATTCTACTGTTATTACAAAGGTGAAAGATGACTTTAATATTGACATAAAAGTTACAATAAACACCCAAATAACACATGTTAAAGTTTACTACAACTTATTATGGTGTTAAGTTTCTAAATGTTTCCTTATAACTTCTACAGATTGACTACTACAACTTATTATGGTGTTAAGTTTCTACACCTGTTTCCTTATAACTTTTACAGATTGACTACTACGACTTCACAGCTTTAAAATATCTTATATCAAATTGACGAACTTAAAACATATTACTTACTAAAGTTTCATTTAAAGCCTTGTAAAGTTTCTGGGTGTGTATTCTCACAGCTTCAACAGCTTCTTCTTCTGCTGAAACAGCATCCTTTGACAGCTTCTCTAACGATTCTATTCCCTCTTCGACTTTCTGTTGAAGTGCTATGAAAACATTACACCAATGCTTTAATAGTTAATCTTAAATTTAAGCTACTAAAATTAAAACAACCTACATGTTTCTTATAACTTCTACAGATTGACTACTACAACTTATTACAGCATTAAGTTTCTACACCTGTTTCCTTATAACTTCTACAGATTGACTACTACAACTTATTACAGCGTTAAGTTTCTAAATGTTTCCTTATAACTTCTACAGATTGACTACTACAACTTATTATGGTGTTAAGTTTCTAAATGTTTCCTTATAACTTCTACAGATTGACTACTACAACTTATTACAGCTTAAGTTTCTACAGTTTCCTTATAACTTCTACAGATTGACTACTACAACTTATTACAGCATTAAGTTGGTACTATATTTACAAAACTTACTTGACATCAGCTGCAGTTCTCGGTACTATATTTACAAAACTTACTTGACATCAGCAGCAACCGTTGAAGCTTTGCTTATGGCTGCATCTCTCACTACATTGGCAGCACTGATGTCATCCCAAACACGTCTGTCTTCAACATCCTGTTTGATTGACATTAACATCAATGACTGGGTTATTGGTATGTCTATCTAATGTCCTGTTAAAGACTTATACTACAACAGTAATGAATGAAATACTAGTTTGTATATCTTTTTGTTTGGGTTAAACAACTACATAGATTGCAAGTTTTTCACCACCAGGTGTCCTACAAATACTTCTACAGTATTAAATGAATTAGTTACAAAGCTTTTGCATTGAAAACTGCAATAATGAAAGTGACTAAAAGTGGAAGAATATGAAATAAGAAAGTTAATTCTACAAGAATGATGTAAACTTTATGTTTTATTCCACTATTTTTTATGCTTCTGGTTCCCAAGACCAAAAAATTGTTTTAACGCATAACTTTCGAAATGGAAAAACTCTGCTGTATCTTCAAATTTTTCAACTGTAACTGTTTCTATTCTAGTGTTTTATCCACACATAATTTTTGTTGGCTGCGTTGTTCTTAAAAGTTTCAAATGTGGTTTTCTCTCCGAATACAATTAATAACTTGCAATCACTTCTACTCTTTAAAGGCACAACTTTTAACTTTATCTATAGGTTAAAACTAGTAGAACTTCCATAAAGACACAAAAATAAAAATTATCCCGATTCACTTTTTGTGACGTGAACATGACACCACACCTAGTTGCTGCATTAGTTTGGTTCAAATTGATGCATTTCATTTCAGTGTTTTGTGTTTTCTTTTCTAAAACAAACATGTGTAATGACTTTATCCGTTCGACAATGATTTGACTATTACTAATTCTCATTGCGTGAAACAAACCTATATGATGTAACATTTAAAGATTTGTTATTGAACAAATGTATTTAAGAACCAATATTAGTACTACTCACCTACATTTCATCTAAGGCTTTGTTACATTTCTACACGTGTGTCCTTAAAACTTTTACAGATTGACGAGAACTGCAGCTGATGTCAAGTAAGTTTTGTAAATATAGTACCGAGAACTGCAGCTGATGTCAAGTAAGTTTTGTAAATATAGTACCGAGAACTGCAGCTGATGTCAAGTAAGTTTTGTAAATATAGTACTGAGAACTGAATGTTCTCTACACTACTTCTGGTTTATCATTCTGTTATTTTAATAGTATTATTGGTTGAGTCAAAACACAGGATTGATAGTTATAACTCAAATACTGTCTTTTGTCATGTCACAATTGAAGATTTTAAAAGGGTTACAATAGTTTAGATGTTTAATTTATCAAATATTTCTTATTTGTGCTGAAAAGGTATTTGAATCTTGATTCTAATTTCATTGTTCTGGATAGAATTTTGGAAGTAATTACAATTAAAGCTTTAATAAGAAGTAAATTTTGTTTTCCTTTCCAAATCTAGGTTAGAATTTTTCTTTATTTACTGGTTTATGAAGAAGTTTTAGCTGGGTTAAACCTCTTTTAAATGATTAAATAAAGTTATTTTCAAAACAAGTTTTTGAAATTACTAATTTCTCTAAAATGTATTGTATTTCCTTATTTAAAAATATGGTCAACAAAAAGTTTACATTACTTAGTAAAATTAAAAAAAAAATGACTTGTGTTGCCAACGTATTTAGAAAACATAATTTTTTTCCATTTTTAAGTCATTTAATAAAATTAAAACAATACTTCCTGGCACTAAAGATAAAAAGATATTCTACAAAAAAAAGGTATATATCAAATTAGATGTGAATTTAACAAAAATATATATTGACCAAACTAGCCAGTTAATGGTTTATTGTGTTGCATTGTTCTGATCTTATCAATCAATATGATATTCGATAAATCTTGTACGCATGACTTTCCGTAAACTTGTTTTGTAGATTTGATCCCCTTTTTTTTTATTATAACATCTCTGAAATAAATGAATTAATGAGTTATTGTGGTACCTCTACAATTGTTTCTTATCACAACAAAACCTTGTTTTTGAATACTCATTACACTCTTGGGAAGATCAAAAATAATAAACTTCACGCAGGCTAGAAATCTATGCTACAGTGTAGTTGAGAAATAATAC